AAAACCCCAAAACCCCAAAACCCCAAAACCCCAAAACCCCGTACAAACCAGAGAAAACTGAATAAAGTGTCTAATTAGAATCCTTCTCAAATATTTGAAACATTTTCAACCACCAAATAATCTGCTCAATTACAACACCTGTAGTCTCAATTCATTGGTCAATAGAGTAATATTAAACTATGATAATAAGGTTAAAATCAGCTTTAGCCTTGCATCACACTCATTTGGCCATGTATCGAATCTGACGGATATTACTAATAAGAAATACAAGCAAGAAGAGGTAAGCCAGCACTCAAATATGGCCATAGAATATATCTACCCCTTTTAACAATATCCTGGTGATTTAGTGGTTTACAGTTTTCCCAAAACCCTCACAAAATTCTCAACTTGATCTCAAATTTTCATTATAAGAATGCATTAAGTCCTTGTGAATAAATTAAGGGATCCAAATAAGGTTAAATAAACAGAGTTACAAGGTTATATAACCTTCTTGTGCCTCATAAACACACTTGGATGATGCGTAAACTCCCTTATCTTATGTTTCACTAACGACTCTGAAGCAAAATTTATGTTTGAACTTGATGAGTACAGATTATTCGCATCCATTTGTCCTGCTCTATGTCAAAAGTTAGCACTCGCTTAAGTAATATTGTAAGGAGTCTGAAATTATCATTATGTGAAAGAATTAAGCCAAACTTAGTTGATGATTACTAACAATTAATGATATCCCTCAATACAAGGAGTTAACTTAATTTCCACTCCTAGTTTTATAGGACTAATTTCAACAAGAAAAATTAGGGACAACACTTTATGGAGTAATAACAAGTTCTCTGGTAAAAAAATGCGTCCAAAACGCATTAGTCCTTACTTAGAGCTTGTTTTTCCTGCGATTCCGCCTACTTCATCCCCTAAGTGCCTAAAGTCCACTTGAGCATCATCATCCTTAATAAATTCCTTCTGAAATAAGCGATCAGGGTGCCTAAATTACAGGTTAAATCCTAAATCCCACAATATCCAGCTTGCAGCCATAGCTCTATTAAGAGATATAAGAAGGGCAGATAGGTCCTGAAGGACTCTAGTGCTGGTTTGTACTGAGCTAGAGCAGTTTTATAGTGTTTAAAGTGTCTTTAAAGGTGAAATATCTGTAATAACAGCTATCAGGTCTGGAAATTTTAGGGTCAAAGCAAAGGAAGTAGAGACACAGACCAGTTTAAAGAGCATATTTGACCACCACTAATCACTTTTGACCCTTACGAGCTAAGTTTTAGCGTTTTAATAGTCTTGAGAGTTTTTTAGGATTATAGGGGAAAAATTACATTTTTAGGTGAAAATCGGTCGAAAAGTATCGAGGAAAGGCCAAGCTAAGTTGATAAGTTGCGTTTAGAAAACAATAAGAAAATGTAATGTTTTTAACTAAGGGTGATTATTGTTAGAAACAATTTTGAGCCTTTCTGCCAACTTTAAGGGATTTTACATATAAGTTTGCAAGAAAGACTATGCTTTATAAGATTTTACCTATTTTTGCAACTTAAAAGATACTATATCTAATCATTAAGCCCAACAGTAGAATACTCGATAAGGCTAAAAATAATATTTAACTAAGCTAAATTTTTATGAACCCCGATGCTTATAATCTGGTGGTTCCAAAAATTTTCAAATGAATGGAATCAAGAGACACATAACTGACATTCTCTATTAGTTCTAAATAGGTAGATATCTTAGTTATCCCTCTCTTATAGATAGCCAGAAGTCATAAGCAGGATTCTTAACTTAACACCCACATAGAATCTTTTAACAATTTACGAAATTTGGAGGTCTTTTAATGCTCAAATATCGAGTTTTCGAACCTATTGAATGAGCAACCTTGTGTCATTACTCTTGAATTAGTCCCATGTTCGAGAAGGAACTCCCACATTAGTAGTTAAATAGATATGCTTCATACAAGGTCAGATTACCAATCAAAAATAAATATGGTTACAAAATATGAAGACTTCTTACGAATATTTCTTCGAGTGATTATCAGGATTATGCTTCGTAATCCCTGGAAATCCCTTCTCTTCTTCGATGGTGTCTAAAGGTTTATTTAATGAATTTACTCATATTGAAAGTTTTGCGAACTGGAACACTGGCTTTCTTTCTGTACTCCATAGCCTGATGCTCGACAATCTTCGCAGCCATTGGGTCAAAAGACTCAGAAGAGTCAAGAGAAAATTCGTCACTAGCATTACTTCTAGACACTACACTCTCTTCATCTCTCCAGACTAAATCAAAATTCTGACAAGGGAGGCCAATGAATCACTGGAGAACATCTGAGTAGAATCATTCTTTTCATATTTCGTATGAAATAGATGACTTTTCATCCAAGTCATTTAGATATTTAAGAAACAGTGAGACTTCAACTGGAAGCCCCTTGCTAAGCATTTTCCACCCATAATTCTCTTTCTCACGTGCAACCTTTTTACCGGTTTGTGTACCTGTAGCATCACAATATTTGATCCAAGGAACGGTTCCCTTTAGAAGAAGTATAGCAAGGTATGCGATTCACTCTAAATCATCTCTCTTCGTAGTAGTCAGGCCACGGTCATAATTAATACTAGTGATAATTCTCGATGAATCCTGATCATCACAATCTTGGCTTAAACCGAATGCAGTAGGTGAGAGGTAGACATAGTCTCTCTGCTCACAAGACCTGACCTCTATATGCTTCATTTCTAGACGTCCACTTCACTTATCCTTCCCATGATACCCTTCAAGCTGCTCCAGAAGCTGTATCACAATCATTAGAACGGTCTTGACGGGTAATTTGTTTGAATTTTTGACAAAAGTGGAATACAAACATCCTTCAAAAAGTTTGGATTGATCCTGTGTTGGTCTGTACAGGTTAAAATACCAGAATTACCTAGTTCTTTTACCCCAGATTATCTTCTTTGCAGTGCCATTTGACTTGTAGGATGGGCTTGGCTCTTCTAAATTCATTTTATGCCAATTTTCTATAATATAATAAAACACTGGGGTTTTGGGGTTTTGGGGTTTTGGGGTTTTGGGG